AAATGGACCAATATGGCAAGGCCATGATGATCCACTTGGTAAAATAAATCCGCTTGACATCTTTCTTGGCCTTGAGACAACAATTCTGACGGCTAAAGATCCAAACGGGACACAAAAATAAAATAAAATAAAATAAAATAAAATAAAATAAAATAAAATAAAATAAAATAAAATAAATAAATAAATAAATAAATAAATAAATCATTAACAGTATTGAGATCCTAATCTTCATTATTATACACAATTTGAGTTAATCTGGTTCAGCTTTGCTCCACTGGTCAATGTAGAGTCTGCACACCAGGCACTCTTTAATGTCTGTTGCCACTTCTTTCTTGGTTACCATGGTGACACCTCTCTACTTCTATATAAATACACGTATTTCGTGCTGAAAGCTGCATATTTGTGCTCAGCGTCAGGAAACATCTAAAACAAAGTCACGCTCTGGTCGCTCCTCCTGATGATGAAATCAGTTTTTGCTGAATTATGCCAGAAGTCTCAAGCCCAACACCGTGCCTCAGAATACCATATTTTACTTTTCTGGCTGCAAAGAGGCTTTTTTTTTTTTTAAATTAAACTAGGTTTTAAAAATCTGTTGATCTCTGAATAAAAAGGGAGGATTTTGTGTTTTAAGGTGACTCATGTTTTAAAACTGACTCAGATCCTCTGGAAGAGTCGACTCAGCAGACTCAGACGGGAAGGCTGCTGCTGGCTGACTGAATGAATGAAAACAAGTGAAATGCTCCTTTAAACTGTCACTGCAGGTTTTCTTCTTATGTCTCTATTTTGCCCTCTCTCTTCCTTCCTGCTGCCTTTCATCCAGAGATGAATCAGACCCGGGGGGACGATTCAGTGCTCAAAATGCATCTGGAGGAGAGAGGAAGATGCTGAAATGTCTTCTCAGACGTGACACATAAATGAGGCGTGAAACACGGCGAGTATAGAAGCTATGGTGGGAAATAGAGATGCTCCTATTGTATGTTGAAAGGATTTAGATAAAGCTTTCAATGATGGATAAACAGAGAAATGAGAGTTTCAGAAGCTGTCGCTGTGTTTTTGTAGAAACCCAAAGCACATGACAGCCTGTTTACCTCATTGTGTGTTTCTCACTTTCTAGGTCTGGGTGTCAAAGCACAGCAAGCTAGAAACATTTTTACATAAGACACAGGAGGCGACAGCACTGATATGCTTTGATGTTATATAAGGTGTTTCTTTAGTAAAGCTGTACCTGTGTTTGCATCTTTCCTCTCATTGCACTCTCCACGTTGCAAAGCCGGGACTCAGTTCTCCCTCAGTAACCTCAAGCTCATTCTCAGAAATCCCCTGCAGCTTTACCTTTGTAATAATCACATGTGTGCCAACAGTCAACACATGTGTTTGCTTATGTTTTGTGGAAATCTATACAGAGGAAATGGCTCCTTTTAAAGCCACCAGACTTTACTGGCGAAAACAATCATTTTACTGTGCACAGAATGGGATTCACTCTGAGTGAGCTGAGCATGTTATTTCAGATCCAGGCTAACCCAGCAAAATACCAAAGGGACACACAAACTGCAGTTCCTCTAGTGGCCACTGGAGGCTCAACCCAACAGTGAGTCAATCTCCATGGAAATGTCGAAATTTACAGCAGAAGTTTACAACCTGAGCAAACACAGTTTTGGTCTCTCTGGATAGTTTGTTTCATAGCAACTGTACTGTGGGTCAATTCTTTCATAACTCATCTAACTGGATGCCAGTAAGACAAACCAACCAGTAAACCAACAGTTTTTAAACACTACTTCTGATTATTTTCACTTCATTTTTCTTACAGATGTTTTAATAAGAGTTGCTGATACAAAAATACCAAAGTATACTTCACATAACACGATTCAGTCTAAAAATAAAGCCTGTTTGTTTGTTCACATGTTTATTTCTTACTTCCTGTTTGGGGCTCCCGTCCATTGGCTGTCCAGGGGTGGAACCCAGCTGGGGGGAGTGGCTTGCCACTGCAGCCTGCTGCTGATTGGCTGTCTTGGTGGTGGACAGGTACTGACGGACCTGCTGCCTCTGAGCCTGCTGGATGTGATACCTGGTGGGATTCTCCAGGTGAGTCTGCACCTGAGGGCCAAGAGTGAAGATTTAAAAGACTTAAAATGTTGCAAACGATAACTGTATACATATAAAGCTAGCAGGTCGCGTCCATACATAGCATTTTAGCACATTGTTGAGATTTAGCCAATAGATTTTAGGGAAAGGACTTCAAATTGCATCTGCTAATCAGTTTTCACAAAAGCAAATAAGATTTATAAGCTAATAAATCATCAGACAATAACAAACGGCTATCTGAAGGGTGTGCTATGACGCGCTGATTAAAGGGTTAGCCAGGTGTGTTTAGCTTTAAATACTTTTTATATTTGTTTGCATATTTAAACAATAAATGTAGTCAACGTTGATATTTAATTTTTTTGTGCAGTACGTTCACTGGCGTCCATTTTCTGACACCTCTCGTTTCAGTTTACTCCACGCACCTTTAGCACCTCCACAGGGACCTGAGCAGGAGGTATGCAGGAGGAGGGCACCGAGACGCAGATGGGCGAGGAGGAGTCGGAGAAGCGAAGAAGCTGCTGTTGCTTCTTCTGCGTCTCTTTATGCTCCTCCTCCAGAGCCTGCTGACGCATCAGATCCTGACGCATCAAAACCCTGCAGGAGGAGTAAGGAGGTGGACGTTATCGACAGTGCTTGTGAGAGCGCCCTCTGGAGGACAGAGAGATGAGCGAAGACAGGAACGAAAGAAGAAGTGGGGGAGTTGTATACCTCGATGACATCACTGACGGCAGTGAAGAAGATGAAGAGGAGGGAGCTGCTGCTGATGAACTGAAGACAGAAATGACAGCACACTTTAGTTATCATAATCAACAGGTGGTGTAGGTGGTGTTGGAGGGGTCACCTGTAGAATCCATACTTTGAGGTCAGAGCTGTGTTACCTGATGCTGATTGGCTGACTCTTGATTTCATAGAAGGTGTCGCAGTCAGATGGCAGCAGACCGTCGACCTCGATGTCAGCAACGATCCCAGACTCCACTCTGAGGGGCAGAGACAGAAATCAACCAATCAGCAGCCTGAGAGACAGACACGATTATCCAATCAGCATTTAAACCAGCATTTTTCAATGTACAGGAAAGAGAGACAATACATTTGATGCAAGAGCCATCGTCATTTCCACCTTGTTACAATGATTACATTTAAATTGTGTGTGTGCTCCTGCTTATCTGATGTTTACCTCCAAGTTTAACAGCTCTTCATATGTTCAGTTTGGAAATAAACGAAAAAAACCCTGAGACATGGCAGTAAAAAGTCCAGCCTTTCACCACAGTTATGAATACACTGCAGCGTTTGTTTGAGACTCACTTCTTAGAGTGATAGAAATATTTTTATACAGAGAAGAAGAATGTGGAGGAACAACATCTGTCAGCTGTTAGGCTTTACCACTTCCTGTGTTTGGGTGCATGAGCATGAGTGCTTGTAAGGCTGCTTCATGGGGACCCAAATCAGACTGAAGACTTGTGAGGACATGTCTGCTCTGTGGATAAGCTTTATCAAGTTGGGACAAACTTTGACGTCTCACAAACCTTTAAAGCAAGACATTTTCAAATGGAGACAAGTTTTGCAAAGTAGGGACATTTGGCCAGAATGGGGACGTTTTCATGAAAGTGTGAACAGCTGTGAGACATTCAGACAACTCTGGAAAATGGTGATTTTTAGTTGCAAAAATGGGGACATTTACACAAAGTGGGGACATTTTACGGAATGGGGATGTTTGCATGAAAATGCGAATCACTGTGAGACATTCAGACAACTCTGGAAAATGTTAACTTTTTGCCGCATATTTTTGAAACATGTATTTATTAATGTAAAGTGGGGACATTTGTGAATTTGGAAAGATAGAAATTTTTTAAATAACAGGATTTTAAGGGCTTGAAGGCTTCTTCGATAATGGAATGTATGGAAAACCTTTCAGTGTACATTTTGCAAACATATTAGATTCTGACAAGGTGGGGACATTACAACAGGTCCTCACTGTCTGCAACACATGATGTGACTTATGGTCCTCACAAAGACAGAGGGACAAACGAGTGTTTAGAGAATTTCTTCTGCTGAGTCACTTCCTGCTGTTCCATGCTCATACACAACCCCACCCCCACCATAGACACATACCAAGACCCCCACCCTTCTCCACTCTCCTCCCCTCAGACAGTTGGGAAGCACTCCTGCTTGTTGTTACTTTTGCTTTTTATAGTAACTCATAGTACAGTGCTTGTGTGTGTGTGTGTGTGTGTGTGTGTGTGTGTGTGTGTGTGTGTGTGTGTGTGTGTGTGTGTGTGTTTTGATTGTGCTGTGTACATGTGGTAAGGGCAAGCCAAGACTGAACATGTCATGGCGCTTAAACCTTTTCCAACTATCATCAACACAAATCAAGAGAACACAACAAACTCCATTCATGACTTCAGCCATTTAAAGTTTTTCTGCACCTCAGAAAACCAATCGGAAGACAACCTTTGAATTTTTAGTGATGGCATATGACATATGTATTTACAAATAAATATAGATTATACACAAAGGTGAATTTTCTTTTGTGTGTGTGGATATTTTATATAAGTTGGGGAGGACTAGGCTGGCCCTATCTGTGTCTCCTGGGAAAATAACAGGAGCTGCAGCAGCTCCATAGATGACTCAATAGATCAGCAAGCAAAGAGGGTCAGAGGTCGAAGGTCAGGCAGTGCAAACAACAACTTGATGATCATCATTATCCCATCACACACACTCAGCACTTTACACGTTCAGAGCTGAGGTACTCGGAGAGCACTTCACACCAAACTTCATTCATAAACTGTTAAATTTAGACTTTACCTGGCTACAAAATAATAGTGAAACGCGTTTTAAACTCTTCCAATTTTACAGTTACACCGAAATATTTCATAGGGGGCTTTAACAGCACCAGTCTGTAATAAACGTTAAACAGTAACTTGTTTACAGCACAGGTCATGAGTGTAAGGGGGGAAACTGCACGCCTTAACTCTCCGTGCAGTCTCTTTCACGGACATTATTCTTTTATTATGAGTTAATACCATAGATTTTAACCCAGGAGCTTCTCCCCGCGGCAGGAGTAACGGTGTAAAAAACAAAAACAAAAAAAACTTCCTGACTCACCGGACCACGTTGAGAGTTTCCTCCGGGTCCAGGATGACAAACACGGTCTGCGGCTGCAAGACGCCGGCCTCCGGCTGCTCCGGCTCGGCTCCGCTGCAGCTCCCCTGCTCGCTCCGGACCTGCTCCGGGATAACGGCTGACATCTCTGCGGACTCTAAGAAGAAAAGGAGAAGCTCTTTATCTCCCAGCAGCCACTGCGAGATCAAAGTCTCAGAGGGGCAGCTTAGGAACCTCGATCCGGTCCAGACCCTTTGACTCCACACGGAGGAGAAGACGAGGATGATGAAAACGAGGACGACTCAGGTTCAAGTTCTCAGTAAAGATGAAGAGACAGACTGAATCACAGACAGCTGTCAGCCCAGAAAAACACCACATAGAACAGACCCACACTTCCGAGTAAATAAAACTCCGCAAAACAGTCGAGTAGGTGCAGTCATTAAACAGAACCTGCAATATGCAATCTGTCTGTCTATGCCTGTCAGCGGATTGAAGATATTTATCTCCTATAGATCATCTATTACTCCAGTAATTCGTCCATAAAAGTCAGTTTATGCTAAAACATTTCCCCGAAACGTATGAATATTTTGGGTGATTTTAAACCCGGTGAAACAAACATATTTGCACATATTTTCTAGTCTGGTGCCCCATTTTTATACTGGATATTTTTTCTTATAATATTTATTTTGTGATATTTATTTGTTTAAACGAAATTTAAATTTAACGAAATTAGATTACTGATGAAATTATTTTAGTTTAATTTGTCAATTAATTAGTTAAAACCTAATTATTTGTAATATCAAGTATAAAAGGTTCAGGTCCTTCTTCACAAAATTAAATTAATATGTAAATTAACAGAAAAACCCCCAACTGTGGTTATTAAAAATAATAAACAAACCAACAAAAACTATTTTAAATTTTGCAGTAAAAATAGTATTGATTAAAAAAAATTACTAAACAATAAACAATCTGATAAAGTGTCTGTGAAGGTTCTCAGTCATCCAGGTCGTCGTAGTCAAAGGAGCTTGCAAAGAAAAGCGTCTGGACTTCTTTAAGTTGCTTGAAGACGTTTCACCTCTCATCCGAGAAGCTTCTTCAGTTCTAAGGTCAAATAGTGTTAAAATAATGATAAAATAATGTTTTGTTTTGTTTTTTTAAATTGAACAACTTTTTCATGTATTTTCTACTCGTTGTATTTCTATGTTTGGATGGGGCAGGTCTGAGCGGCTGGACTGATCTCCCGCTGACCAATAAGCTGCTCCGCTGCTAACCGCCAGCCAATAGAACTGCTTCTTTGCTTGCTGCCTTACCAATCAGCGGCTGCCGCTGAAGCTCGGCGCTTACAGAACAGAGGAGCAGCCGCCATTTTGTTTGTTTTTATCTCAACTGTTACGGGAAGCGGTAGTGGGGAGGGAGCAGGGGGGTAGGGAGGAAATCCCCCGGGTGACGTTAGCCTAGCGCGTCTTATCAGCCGAGCTCAGAGTGGCAGGACAGTGTCCAATCAGAAGGCCGGAACGACGCGAAGCGGTCAGGCGGGGAAAGTTAAGAGAAAATGATGACTAAATCTTACATCAGCGTAGGATGACGTAAGAAAAACATTTACAGTCTCTTTAAAAAGAGACTACAGCTCATCTTAAACATGAAAGTAAATTAGACCCGAAAATTAATAAATTGAGAGAAGTCCAGGTATGCTCTCTGCTGCTGGAGGTCACCTTGTTTCTAGACATGCAATCACAACAACTGACACTGCGTCATCGCTGTCCTGCTACATCTAATCGGAAGTATTGATTGGAGATTTGTTTTGTAGTTTGAAGTCAGTCTGTAATTGATTTATAGAAGCACATTTGTCTTATTAAAATAAAAAAAATTAAATGCACAATTTTGAAGTTTTGTCTGGAATTTGTCATCAAGTAGGATTTTCTATCCTGATTTTATGACTTTTTCAAGTTTTCATTTTTAACCTTGGAGTTGCTTTTTGTCATTATATGATTTATTAATTTTTATTTAAAATGTCTGATTTCCACAGTGACGTGATTGCGTCATGCAGTGGCTGTAGATTTGTCAGCAGATGTCCATCGTGTGTTGAGAAAAATATCTTCACCCCTTTGTAAGCTATTATGCAGGATAGGTTGGATCCATGCTTTCACGTTGTTTGGACCAAATTCTGACCCTACCACAGAAGAAATCGAGACTCATCAGAGCAATTTTTCTATTATCCAGTTTCGGTGGGCCTCTTTTAACGGCAGCCTCAGTTTCCTGCTGTTATCTGACTGGAGTGGTGCGGTCTTCTGCTGCTGTAGTCCTTCTGCTTCAAGGTTCACTATCAGAGATGCACTTCTGCAAAACTCGGTTGTAACGAGCTGTTATTTGTGTTCCTATCAAATCAAAACAGTCTGGTTATTCTCCTCTGACCTGAACATTTTTACCCAAGAACTGACACTATTTTCTATTTTTTTAGACCGTTATCGGTGAAGCGATGGTTGTGTGGGAAAATCCCACCCAGAAATGCTCAGACCAACAACAATGCCACATTTAACATCACTTCACTCCCCTTGTTTCTTCATTCTGATCATTTTGAACTTCAGCAGGTAATCTTGACCATGTCTACATGTCTAAATGAATTAATTTGCTGTCACGTGATTGGCTGATTAAATATTTTACTAACAAGGAGCTGAGCAGGTGAACCTAATGATGCAGTCGGTTAGTGTACATTTAATTTCTACAGCTAATGTGACGGGTCTGGCTTAATTAAGCACTTTTATGAGCTGACCTTTCACTGATATATAAATTAATATGTATATAATTCATCTGAATAAACTTTGTAACATTTACAACTCAATTTTTATTCCTTTTATTCACTTGTTGTATTCAATGTTTTCTGTTTTCAACTCCCTACGCTGTACTGCTCTTTGTCATCACTGGATGGCGCTGTTGTTTTTGCTGTTGCTTCAGCTGTAAATATTTGTCCAACATTTCAATAAAGTTTTCTGAATATGTCAGCAGTAGTAGTGACAACATATGAAAATCCAGACAGACATTTCACATCAGTTTTTATACTTTTATTTTATTTATAACACTTGTCATTTTATCTTCTTACAGAGGGGGCATGATGGGAAACAGACATCGACAGCATGGAAGGCAGTGGCCGGCCACTAACCGATAACCTGCAATCAATCAATACTCAATCAATAATAACAATATACTTCTAAGTACAACATGAAGGAGAAGAATACACGACGGTGCTGCTGTTACACCAGAGGTGTGGGAACGTCAGCCATTAACAGTCCACAGCACAAACGCCCCTGTGATCACATCAGAACTGCCCCAAAGAAAACAAAAAAATTAAAATAATAATAATAAAAAGAGCAATAAAAGCAGTAATAACACCTTTGGAATAAAATAACAAATAAATATAAAGCTGCAGACTGAAAGGCTAAATACTGACACCCATCTGAATTGGCACAAAGAAGAGTTCAGAAGCTGTAAGGCAAAAATCAGAACTAGAGGAGTTTTTACACAGAAGCCAGTTTCTCTTCTTTGGACAGAATAACTGATCCTAGACCAGCACCAGCATTTCACTGCTCTGAAACTACAAACTGGATCAGGGGCTGAGGCGGATGCAAATATTTCTTTAAACTGCTTTAAAAACTTTATTTAAATAGTTCAAACCAAGCAGCAAGTACCCATTGTTTTTAAACTGCAGTTCCTCACCTGGCCACTTGAGGCGGCCTACAACAGTGAGTCTCCCATGTTAAAATGTCTGAGTGTACAGCAGAAACAAACATGTTTACGCCCTGGTCCACAACATGGGTTTGGTGTCTGTGGCTAATTTAAACCTTTATAAAAACTGTAGTGGGGTGAAATTAGTTATACTTAAGTTGTCAGTATTAGAGGCGTCCCTACTTTGATTGGCAGAAGAATCTCTACAAAGACGTTACAGCCAACAAATTCAAATCCAATGAGTGAACCAAATTGACAGTTTTCATGTAATAAAATTATCTTATACATATTATGACTTGTTTTTTAAGTGAAATTGTACTACTTTAATTTGCTATTTAGCATTAATTATCCAGTATCTATGGATTCCACACAAACCAATGGCTAACTTCATGGTGGCTATGTCCATCTTTATATACTGTCGTCAGAACCAGTGAGGAACAGTTTAATCCAGTCTGCAATGATCTCTGGCAACAGAAAAGATTCAGTAAAACTCAAACAAAAAGAAGCAACTTAAGCGTTGACCACGCAACACATTTTTCACCACATCAAAACAGTTGATGACGATGGGAGCTATATAAGGCTGAGTTACTGGCCATTTCCTTCCATTATCACTGCTTTGCATGCCAAAAACACGCTAAAAAACACACTGTAGCAACCAGAGCCACGTGCAGACTGAGCACCAGATAGCGAGGCGGTGAGGTAGAAGCTAAAGAAAAACTTCCACATTTTGAGAGGAAAGTTTGTGTAATGCAGAATCACGAAACGCTTCCCAGAGATTCTGCTCTGGTTAGCATGTAGCTTAGCACAAACTGTGGAAGCAAAGGGGAACTGTTAGCTTAGCTTTTCCAACCTATTCATTTGCATTTTACATTAAGAGAAAGCAGCTGCGTGTCATTAGCTCGATAACTAACACAAGTTTCATGATTTTGACTGATTTTTGATGAGTAGCTTGGCCTTTAAACTGTGACGGTCCAGCAGAAAGTGAAAGGAGGAGCAGGAACAAGCACATCTTTGGTATTTTAGCTTTATCAGCGACCACCAATAACTGATTAACAGTCTGTTAACGAGGCAAAGCAGCTGCATGCAGCCTGTTGCAATTACTCTTCAACTTCTTTTAACTTTCTTCACTTGTATTTCTTCCTGTCTAATTTTACAACTTCCACCATCTTGAGCAGAATTTTGATCAATTCTGACAGAAAACTTTAGAAAGCTGTCCTGGAAAAGCGTCGTCTTTTAAACTCCGCTCAAAGATAACCACCACATCGACATACTGCACTCCTCTCTACCAGCCATTTTATAAGTTTATCCACTGCCAAACCAAAACAAAAAGTCACTATCTAGAGTTCAATAAGCAAATGGGCAAGAGCCATCCTCTGGATAATTAGTCCAGTGATTAATATGAGTAGCTTCTTATTTTTTAAAAACTGTGTCAGAAGACGTATCCTGGGTCATGGAAAACACGTTACTTTCTTACTAGAAGGTCAAATTATTGCTTCAAGCAAAGGAGATTACTGAAAATCATAGAACTGGGTTAAGAATTATCCAGAAAGTGTTGAACCATCATCTTCAAAAAAGATACGTGGTCTGAAAAATGTGTTGAACGATTGGGATCGGCTGTCACTTTCAACGTTTGGTGAACGTGTAAAAAAAATCAATTTCCACACGCAGTGATTGGGACAAAACATCTGTGTCCCCTTAAGGAAAACAATTATTGGTGAAGCTAATTGAAAAGAATGGCTTTGATTTGTTAGGGAGTATAAAGATCAGACTCTGGAGCACTGGACAAAGGTCATGACGACTATGATCTGGGGTTTCTTCAGTTGGTCAGGTCATGGTTCAGCAATGTTACGTGACCTAGAACAGGTCAGCTGACCACGTCAATGATTGGATTTGCCAGGATGCATCGGGCTCAAATCAGATTGGCCACTACAGAGTCCAGACCATAACCGCTCTGAGAATCTTTAAGACAGGGATTCGAATCTTCAATCATCAAAGACCTTGCTGTCAATAAATGACCACAACTCTGGATGGAAATAAGTTTGTTGTGACAATGCACAGGTTTGTCGACACAAACCACAAATTTAAAGGCGGTCCAGAAAACCATAAGAGTGTGTGACGTTTCTTTTTGGCCGGGCAGTATTTTCTTTTCCTTTCTACGCTAACAGGTTCCCCCTGCTTCCAGTGTTCGATCTCACAGCTACAGACGTCACTGAAACGTCAGGTTGTTCCTTTAACCTTCACCCCATCAGTCCTCGAACCGTCTGCGTGGCTCTGGCTGTGCGGAGGAACAGCAAGCGTTAACCTTTTAACCTTTACACAGTCACATGACCTGACAGGGTCACGGGAGAATAAATTATATATTTACAAAATCTTTACTTTGTTTTCTTCTTGCATCAACTTGCATCAAGCAAACATCAACACAATCCAGACTCATAAACACAGAAATATCCAACAACAAGTCGTTTCAGTTCATCGTAGTGTAACAATAATATTCATAATATCTGCTTTTTTTTCACTATCAAAACACTTTGTCCAAAATGTGTTTATAGAGACAGAGAGAGAAATACTGAACCACTGCAAGTCAAAATAAGAAAAACAACAAAAGCCTTTAGTTTTTCTTTTGATTTCTGTTCAGATCGGCTCCATCTAATCGCTGGATTCATTTCAGGAAACAAAAGACCGAATGGGTCAGACCCAGAGAGACGTGAAGGTCCGCAGTCCGGTCCAGGACCTGTTAGAGACTCTGTCCTTAAAAACATCCAAACTTTATACATCCAAAAAACATCATCGTAAGAGTCCTTTCATTGGACGATTATTTCCATTATTATTTTTTATATCGTATAAATCTTCTGGTCAATAAAAGTCAGAAAACGTCAGTTTCTCAGAGTCCAAGTCTTCAAATGTCTGAATCAACAATCTAAAACTCCAAAATATTCATTTTACTGCCATTAAAAAACACAAAAATCAGACACTGGGAGCAGCTAGAAATTCAAAATAAATCCTTTCAGCTCCACATAAACATTTGCTTCTTCCAAATTATATGTTTGACATTTTGCATTCACAAAAGCAAAGTATTTTGGAGGTTGTAGTTTAACAGGACCACATGACTTACATACCTAATAATTATAAAAACGGAATCATATTTACACGAGAACCTCCTCGAAAGGCTTTTCTTTCCTGAATGCAAAGTGTTACATTAAAATGTTGGCGTTTGTACCTCAGTCAGATTAAATAATGAAACATTAACAGAACTGTCTATTAAATTTAGGACATTATGTCAAAATCAGAACATGTGAAGTCAAAATGTTTATTTTTAGTCATTTTAACTGAGACTGTATCTGCATCAGAAAGAGTTTCTTGGTTAAAATCAGGAGATACAAAGTCCTTTCATACCAACCTTTGAAGATCAAGAGCAAAAAATCCTAATTTCAAAAGAAAATCTGAAAATCAATCATCAACATTTAACTCATTATTATTAATAATATTATTATTGTGCAGAAGACTGAACAGTTAATAACACCTCTTCAGTTGTTAAGCATAAATAAATACAAGAAACTTCCAGTTTGTCTGATTCAGCTTTTTTTTTTTTTTTTAGTCGGACTGAAGAAACTGTTTGAACTCTGAGAAACAAACATCATCCTCTCAGGAAATAAATACATGAAAAAATATCTCAGACTGAGAAGTTTAAATAAAACCTTCACACGTTGAGCTACTTTCTGCAGGTCTTTGAGGAACAGGATCAGGGATTTTTTTAACTGCAGTTCCGGACTTTACCAGCAGAGGGCAGGAAAGCTTCAGCTAAAACCTCAACAGCAGAGGCTGCTGCGGAGGAACTGCTGCTTTCCTCCAATTGGTTGAAAAGTTGAAAGCCAGAATTTCTTCACTGGGGTAAATTGGCGGTAAAAATCCAAAAGTCATTTAAGTGCATTGATGAAGGAAACATCGGTCCAATTCTTCCTTTGTGTTTTTCAAATCTGCTGTTCCCACCATCGACCTTTTTTAGCACAGCTCAGCTTCTTTTTTAACGCAGGGAGGAAACCTGCTGCTTATTCACATCCTCACCTTACATTTGGGATTCACACGTCTGACCTTTGGAGCTGACCTGAGTCACACTTCCACAACCAATCAGCTTTCATCTGACTATAAGTGGGGGTTTAAGGATGCTCGGATTACTCGCTCCTGACATTTTCTCTGTTTTGTCAGATATTTGTGTTTATACAAAACAATAACTGTGTTTTGAATCTTCATATGGATTTTTTTTACTTGCAGTTTGTGGGTTCTTCCTCTGCTTTATGCTGGAGCACATTCTGCATGTTCTGTGGATGCTCAGGAGCTCATAGAGGATTAATCCAGCCGGGAGACGACATCAGGAGAAGACTAACGTGGTTCTGAAACGTTGTTTTTGCTGTTTGACTCAGACACATCACACTTATTTAAAAGTCGTTTCCATTGCAGGAACGTTTCCTGTGACGCCTGCTGAGGAGCTCAGGTCTTCTACCAGCTTTTCCACCAGATCTAAACGAGGATTTTATCCCACGCAGGGTTAAATTTCTCAGCATGAGTCCCTGGAAGTAACACCTCTGATTACTTGTAGAGGAAATGTGACTTTATTTGCTCCCAGTCACCAAACCTGTTACAAACCAGCGAGAGACTCTCACCAGAAATCCGGTTACATGAACTTAAAGTGTGGGCGGCGGAGGACTTGCAGTGGGGTTGGTTCGATGTGCTTTATTGTTGATCAAGTCCAGGAAACGTCCAATCAGAGAGCTTCGGGGTTTGCAGCAGCTGAAAGTAATAACGCTTGTCCTTATCAATTCATGTGCGGATCGTTTTTATACTGAATTTTTATTTATTCTGTGAAGTATCAAAAAGTGGCCACAAACAAGAGGTGGCGTCTTCTGGTTTATCTGCGCGACAGCAGGGAGAAAAATGTTGAATTGTTACTATAATGACTTAAAAACCAGCGAATGAGCGTTGCACGTGCTCCTTACAGCTCTCATCGTTTCACTTTCGGGTCTTTGTGGATGAAATATTTCAAATAGGACGCGACGGTGATGTCATAACTCCGGATGAAGCTGAGGCTCGTGGGAGTGCTGAAATCAAGAAAATGGTGACGCAGGACACTCGAATGAGTGTGACGTGATTGTTCAAAGGAGAGACAACTGTCAGAAGAGGCTCCGCCCACTACGCCGATTCAACACTGGTTAGAAAAAGGTGACGTGAGACAGAGAGAAAGAGTGAGAGACGCCAACTCGTGTGGACAGCCGGGAGGAATCATGCAGACGAACCACGCAACTTTAAATACACAGAGAGAGCAGAGTGTGTGTGTGTGTGTGTGTGTGTGTGTGTGTGTGTGTGTGTGTGTGTGTGTGTGTGTGTGTGTGTGTGTGTGTGTGTAAATAAAGCTACAACAGTTTGTTTTGTTTTC